GTCAAAAAAGGAGAAGTTGTGAGCTAATGATGGCAGGATATGAATAAATTCATTGTACTACGCTCTTTAGTATCAGAACTGATGGATTCACCTACTCGACATATTATTAAAAGGTAATATTAAACTTTTCAATGTTCTGGCAATGTACAAAGAACTCCAACTTCAGAAATGGACCCAATTATTAAGTCCGTGAAAGTAAAGACTTGGTGTCCTCATTAAAATGACAAAAACCCTCATTTCAGAGAGTAGGAAATACAGTTTGTTAGTAAGGTCCCCTAGTAGCATTATAGGAGATCACAGTTTCTTTTGCTTAGTGACAGGTCCAAACTGAGGAGATTATTCTCTGCTCCCACTTAGCTGCAGGAATCCATCTCTGCTCATCAGCGTGTCCTTTACCCCAGGAGGGAAGCAGTCTCTCCTCCTCATTTTCTCAGAGGGAAAATATTTTCATACTTAAACTGAAGAATATGCCTCTAACCTCTCTCCTAGATCTCTGCCCTTTTCTCTTCTGTGTTTCTCCAGATGACTTGTAGGAAATGAGCATAATTAGTAGCCTTCAGTTAATAGAAGAAGCAAAAAGAGGAAGATGAAATATCTCTATTTCATATTGAGCCATGTGGCTTGCCAGAGGACAGACATGCAAACTAAAGCAGAAATAAATAACTGTCCATCTGTATCTGTAGGAGTCACTTGATTTACCCAGTAATCTCTGTGCTACTCAGCTAACTCAAGATCAAGATGCTATCCTTGGTACTGACCCAGCAAGCAAATCAAATATTTCCTCCCCTACTTGGTAAATAGTTAATGTCCCTTTTCCATACAGTTGCTCATATCTGTTCATCTTCACTTTTAGCATCTCCTTTGGTGTTGTGATTGTTAGGAGCACTGCCTGTCCGATGACAGATATCCCAGCCGCAGGAAAATACAGCAAGGATAGATACTATGTGGAGTGCTGGGAATCCAAGTCTTTGTATAATAACTTTATACAAAATCTGTGTAATTACAACAAAAATTAAAATCAGTAATAAAATCTAACACATGTCATGTCAAAGATCTTTTGAAATTTTTTTAAAACTAAAATGCAAGGTTTAAAACTACTACATGATGATAATTACATGGCCATCCACAGAAAACAAATGTGGACACTGAGAACATGTCTGAACACTACTAGAATATTTCTCACCAGACCCTGCATATTATATTGCCACTCTCTGTTTTGGATAGGCAATCAGATCACTTCAGCCTGCATCAGTACGTGATTGTTTTAGAAAACCCTCAGGTTCAGGACATTGAATTAAACCCGTGCCTCCTTAGAGGCAGCTTCCTTTTAGGAATAGGGAATACTTTCACCCTTGGAATATGGTTTTCTTCTATATATTTAATCTTTGTAAAGCACAACTTCTTTCCATTATGTAAAGGATGAATCTTGTCTTTGAAATCCCTTTAGAAAACTCTTATTCCACCATTTATAGCTAATAAGCTCAAAGATTTGATTTCCATTACTTTCTCCTGCCCAAAGCCCTCCCCATAGGTAGCTGAAAAAATTCACACCGTTGTCAAATTGCCTTTTTAAATTATTATACATTTAATATACATATTTGCAATTTTTATCCATTTTGATAATGTCTTTTTTTCTGGGCTTTAATACTCTGTTAGGAATCAAGAAAAGTTTCCATTAATGTGGAGTGTAAACAATAGAGAATAATAGAATCTCACTTTTTACCATAATTATAAGCCTGGACATGGAAGGTACTCAATAAATATTTGTTGAATGAATGAAAATCCTCTGCTTAAATATTTTGGAAAAGTATGATTTTTGACCTTGAGAAACATGCTACAACTATAATTAATTAAATTTAACCTAGATTTTTCCCATGAGTCTTAGTTTTTTTAATTAATAAACTTTAATTTTGAGAGCAGTTTTAGGCTCATAACAAAATAGAACAGGAAGTAAATGGAGTTTTCAAATAATCCCTGTCCCCCTAACATGCACATCTTCCCCCACTATTGACATCCTGTACCAGATGGGTATATTTGTTACAAGTGATGAGTACATCATTATAACCCAAAGTCCGTAGTCTGCATTAGAGTTCCCCCTTGGTATTGTATATTCTATGGGTTTGGACATATGTTTAAAATACACATATCCACCATTATAGTACATACAAAATAGTTTCACTGTTCTAAAGATCCAATTTGCTCTTCCTGTTCATCCTGCCCTCCTCTCTAACCCCTGGCAACCACTCATCTTTTTGCTGACTTCAGAGTTTTGCCTTTTCCAGAATGTCATATAGTTGGAATCATACAGTGTGTAGCCTTTTCAGATTGGCTCCTTTCACTTAGTAATATATATCCTCTAGGTCTTTTCATGGCTTGAAAGCTCATTTCTTTTTAGCACTGAGTAATATTCCATTGTCTGTATATACTAGTTTGTTTATGCATTCACCTACTAAAGAATATGGCTGGTATTTCCAAGTTTTAACACTTATGACTAAAGCTGCTAAAAAATCCATGTGCATGTTTTTGTGGGAACAAAAGTTTTCAGTCTACTTGGGTAAATTCCAAGTAGCATGGTTGCTGGATTGTATGATAAGAGTATGTTTAGTTTTATAAGAAACCGTCAAAGTGTCTTCAAAGTGTGTTCCACTGGCACTGAAGGAGAGTTCCTGTTTGCTCCACATCCTTGCCAGCACTTGATGTAGTCATTGTTCTGACATATGATGATGCCTGCTTGTCACTGGTGTATCTTTGGTGAGGTCTCCAGGTCTAATTTTTTTTATACTTACCCTGTCCATGTACTGTGAACTGCTTGGATCCCTGGTTTGGTATCTGACATTAATTTGGGGAAATTGTCAGTTGTTATTGCTTCACACATTGCTTCTGCTCCTTTTTCTCTTTCTTCCCCTTCTGATAGTCTCATTACGTGTATGTTACATCTTTTGTAGTTATTCCACAGTTCTTGGATATTCTGTTTGTTTTTTTTAGTCCTTTGTCTCTTCGCTTTTCAGTTTAGACAGTTTCTGTTGTCATATCCTCAAGTTCAGAGATTGTTTCCACAGCCATGGCCAGCCTATTAATAAGCCCATCAAAAGCATTTTCCATTTAGTTACTGTGTTTTTTATCTCTAGCATTTCTATTTGATTCTTTCTTAGCATTTGCATCTCTCTGCTTACATTATCCATCTGTTTTTGCATGTTATCTACTTTTTCCATTAAAATCCTGAGCATACTAACCATGTTGTTTTAAGTGCCTGGTGTGATAATTCTAGCATTCCTGCCATATCTGCCTCTTGTTCTGGTCTCTTTTCAGTCTCTTCAAACTATGTTTTTTTATCTTTTAGTTTGCCTTGTACTTGTTGAAATCTTGATATGGTGTAGTAGATTAAAGGAACTCCAGTAAATAGGACTTTAGTGTTGTGGCAGTAAGGTGTTGGGGAAGCAGAGACATTTTTTAGTCTTGTGATTAGGTCTCCGTCTTTCAGCGAGCCAATGCCTGTGCGCTGTGGTCTTCACCGATGTTTCTCAGATTTTTCTCCCCTCCCCCCCAGGTGAAACAGGATGGCCGGGGGAGCTGTATTTGATATTTCCCCTTCTCCAGGTCAGTTTTGCTCCGATAATACCATAGCAGATTAGGATCTGGTAAAACAGTTTCTTTTGAAGACAGATCTTGTAAGAAGAACAGAATGCTCTGGTGTATTTCAAAATGTTTTTCACCTCCCACTCATGAAAGCACAAAGGGATTTTTCCCCAGTATTCACTGTAAGGACCTGGTTGAGCTTCTGAAGATAACTCACTTAAGTTTAAGGTCCCTCTGGACTTTCTAACTCACAGACTTGTCTACACTGAACCTCCAGCAATTCACCAATTGCAGTTTCAATTTTCCTACCTTGGCACTGGTTCCTGTGGAGGCTTCTGGTCTGTTAAGTTGTGATTCTCTGTATTCATCTGTTTCTCCAGCTTTGGAGAGGTGGCAGCAGTTTGCCCTGTTACCTCAGTTCTCTGATGGAAAGTTGTTGTTTTTTTCAGTTCATTCAGCTTTTTACTTGTTGTTAGGATGGAGTGGTGATTTCTAAGCTCCTTACATGTGAGACCAGAAACCAGAAGTCTTGTGTCTTAATTTTTACGCTTGCTTTTTCTCCGTAGGACCACTCAAGGCTACATTTCTTTAGAACAACTGTCAGCAAAATTATTGTGTGGGCAGTCGGCATTTCAAAACAATGAGCTCCACATTTATTTTTACAGGACTCTTCTCATTTGCTGTATTTCAAATAAAAGTAACCAATGTTGCCTTGCCATAGTTATATTGGGGTGAGGAATACAGAACAAGATGAAGACTTTGATGTGCTAGAATTCTGTGTTCATTTGCAAAAATGGGTCTGTGCTTTTGTGTCTATCTCTTGCTGCCATGGCCCACTAAGACATAAGTTTCTCAAGAGCCTTTTTATATATGTCAATTAAAAACACCAAGTTTTCCAAATCTTACCATTTGCAACAACATGGATGGAGCTAGGAAGTATTATGCTCAGTGAAATAAGCCAGGTGGAGAAAGACAAGCACCAAATGATTTCACTCATTTGTGGAGTGTAACAACAAAGCAAAACTGAAGGAGCAAAACAGCAGCAGACTCACAGACTCCAAGAAGGGACTAGCGGTTACCAGAGGGAAGGAGTTGGGGAGGGTGGATGGGGAGGGAAGGAGAAGGGGATTAAAGGGCATTATGATCAGCACACATAATATAGGGGGGGTATGGGGAAGGCAGTACAGCACGAAGACAAGTAGTGACTCTATAGCATCTTACTATGTTGATGGACAGTGACTGCAATGGGGTGTGGGGGGGGGGGACTTAATAATATGGGTGAATGTTGTAACCACAATGTTGCTCATGTAAAACCTTCATAAGATTATATATCAATGATACCTTAATAAAAAAAAACACCAAGTTTTCATGGTGAACCACAAATGAACCTAGATACATTGTTTTCTACTCTGATGATTGTTTAGCCTTAGTATCACAGGCAGAAGCACTGAAGGAAGAAAATGACAGCCTCCGTTGGCAGCTCGATGCCTATCGGAATGAGGTAGAACTGCTCAAGCAAGAACAAGGCAAAGCCCACAGAGAAGATGACCCAAACAAGGAACAGCAGCTGAAACTCCTGCAACAAGCCTTGCAAGGAATGCAACAGGTAAAGGCATTTTGGTTTTCTGGGCTTTATGGAAGGATAGCATCACTTTCTCACCTGTTAAAAGGGCCCCTCCAAGCAAATAGAATACCCAACCTCTTATTCTTCTTGACTTTCTGTTCTCTGTTGTCACTGAAGGAGGAATTATGTGTTGTGATTGATGAAATATTCTGCTTAATACAGAGATAGCAATATCACCAGTTTTCAAAGAATGATCCTTCAATAAAAAATACTTAACAGTAAAACTACACTGAACATAATCTAATCTTCTCTTTATGCTTCAGGAGGTACTCTGGGATCTGCGCAGGGCCTCTGGGTCCTTATGAAGAACCTCAATTACTTAGATATGAAAAAGTGTTGGTGAATAAGTATCCATTTGATAGAATGCTGAACAAATAATACTGCCTTTTAAAAGGAATTGCAGGAGTCCTCCCCTTGATTTGCGTGGATGCAGGGGTGTCATGGATTTTTAAGTATCAATGCTTTGAGCACATAATATCAATTTGCCTTTACTTTGTTTTGTTTTCACAGTCATTTATGTAAGTGAGTTTACCTGCATATTATTCTAAGTGTAAAATGTAAAGTAAATAAGTGCATCCAACTGTAATTGCATTCAAATACAACATTGTGTAATGGATGCTCTATATCTAGATGTTTTATATAACCATCACCACAGTAAGCCTACAATTTAAAAGACATCAACATCTGTTCTCACTATAGTAAAGAAGTAGTACTTCTGAATGAGGGTACTATCCTCTTCTGTCTCACCAAACTCCCAGCCATTTCCCTTACAACTTAAATTGTGCAGTAATATTTTAATTGTATGTTGTGGAATTATCTAGGGCAGAGCTTAATGCCGGTTGGAAATCACAAATGGTGAACAGGGAGTCTCTTCTGGCCCTAAGAGCTCCATGGTCCTATTACTTCTGCTACCATTGTCTTCCTGTATGACAAACAATATCACATTAATATTTCACCTTTCCTATTAGCAAAATGTGTAATGTAATCCTTTCCTTCCCTTTACTGTCACCATGGAGTTTAATTTGAACATGTAAATTACATCAGAGATCTTTCCACCAAAATATGCATCTCCTCAGCTAGACTTCAAAGAATTTTGACAATGTGCAATGTACTGTATCTTTCAGCCCTTCCAATGGTCTTTTGCAAGCCTCTGAAAACCAAGACTTTGGAAATATTTTCTCGTCGTTTTCCCCTCTTACCTTGATTTTGAAACAGTTCCACATAAGGACAGTTCTGCTGCTTAAATGCAATTTTAAAATGATGAACTTTTTTTTTCTTTTCATCACTTCAAAGACCTCAGTGAGACAATTAGGTGTCTACCTGATGAAAAATTAATTTCACTCATTTTGATTACATTTTATTGGGAAATAGCCTTGTAAACAATGTTAAATTTTTCCCCATTTCATACCAAAAACATATATATACTCTAATATAGTGGCTTAGAACATGGACTGTGGGGTTGACCCAGCCTAGGTTTAAAGCCCAGCTCACCACTTACTATCTGAATGATGTTAGGAAAACCACTAAACCTCTTTAAGCTTCAGGATTATGTATCATGGGATTATTCTGAGGTTTAAATGAGATCATGCATGTGAAACCCTTTGCACAATACTTGGTGTATGTATGTTATATGCTAAATAAATATTATTTGTTGTAATCATTAAGAATGGTGGATACAATTCCTTGCCTACTGATATAGAAACTAACATTTGTGAAATTTGGATTATTTTCTGAATTTCTAACAGTAATTGAACTTGGCTTGAAAAATGGCTATTTGCAAGAATACTTTATAACATTAAGTTCACTTCTATGCAGCAATCAAGATACTGTCCACACAGCATTAATTGCACCCTACTATTACCACTGGCTGGAATAGGAAGGTTAAGTGATTAGGTCAGTTAGTTCCTCAGACTCTTTCTAAAATATTAACAAACCCAAAGGAAGTTCTTGAGAGCCAGATAAAATAACTTTAAATGAAAAGTTATTGATTTTCCCTTTCGTATCTTCACATGGAGAAATGATTGTGTGTTTTGGGGGAAAGTGAGGCAGGCCCGCCTAATATCTAACTTCTGCCAGGGATTTTAAATGAAGTGTGGCTCCTTGAGGCTTGATTGTCTTTGGTCTTTCTTGTAGCATCTACTCAAAGTTCAAGAGGAATACAAAAGGAAAGAAGCTGAACTTGAAAAAATCAAAGATGACAAGTTACAGGTGGAAAAAATGTTGGAAAATCTTAAAGAAAAGGTACGTGAGTCCTGAGTGAACCTTTTCCCTCTTCCTTTCCCCCTTTTCAATGACAGTGAAAATGCCCTGGAAGTTACTGCAATAGGAATCAATTTGCAATGTTTGGCTAACTGGGGATTTAAAGTCCTATTTCCAGGGTAATTATTGAATCAAGGGCTCTGCTTTTAGGTGAGTCCTTGACATTTCTGAGGGTTCTGGAGAATGCACTTTTCTTTTTATTTACTTATTTTATTTTATTTTTATTGAAGTATGGTTGATACACAGTATTATATTAGTTTCAAGTACACAGTGATTCAACAGTTACACACATTATTAAATCTCACCCCCACTAGTGCAGTTACCATCTATCAACATAGAAAGATATTATTACAGAATCATTAACTATATTCTCCATGCTGTACCATCATCCCTGTGACCAACATATATTATGACTGAGATTTTGTGCCTCTTTACCCCCTTACCCACCCAAACCCCTCCCCCGTGGTAACTTCTCAGTGTCTATGAGTCTACTAATGTTTTGTTCATTTTCATTTTGTTTTTGTTTTGTTTTTAATCCCACATGTAAGTGAAGTCATGTATTTGTTTTTCTCTGCCTGGTCATTTCACTTAGTATGATACCCTCTAGGTCCATCCATGTTGTTGCAAATGGTAGGATTTCTTTGTTTTTTTATGGCTGAATAATATTCCATTGCTTATATGTACCACATCTTCTTTATCCATTCATCTATCAATGGATACTTTGGTTGTTTCCGTATCTTGGCTATTGTAAATAATGTGGCAATAAACATAGGAATGCATGTATCTTTTCAAATCAGAGATTTTGTGTTCTTTGGGTAAATTCCAAGAGTGGAGTAACTGGATTGCATTGTATTTCTATTTTTAGTTTTTTTTTGCGGAACTGCTATACTGCTTTCCATGGTGGCTTCACCAATTTACATTCCCAGAAACAGTGTTAAGAGAGTTCCCATTTCTCCACATCCTCACCAACACTTGTTATTTCTTATCTTTTGGATAGTAGCCATTCTAACTGGTGTGAGGTGATATCTCATTGTGGTTTTGATTTGTATTTCCTTGGTGATTAGAGTGTACTTTTCAATGAATACAAAGTCAGTCCATTCCTAAAATTCTTCAGTCTTCCCTTTGGAGAAGACCAGGGTGTACACCACATCCCAACTTCCTTGTCAAGCAAATAGCAACATGGAAAACTTATGTGGCACAGAGTACCTAGCATTTCATTAAAGGAAGAAACAAGTGCAAGAAGAATATGACATTGCTTAGCAAACACTCCGTCTAGTATAATAATGAGTGGCTGCAGGTTAAGTAGCCAAAACCAAAAGGGAGAAAACCTTGGAAAGCAAACAGACACAATATTCTAAAGCTAGATAATAGCAACAGGGAAGGCAAGATGGGACTTTGCCTAGTGAGCACCTGCAACAATAAGAACCACCAGTGAGGTGCTGTTAGAGAGTCTGCTAGCATCTGAATGGATTGATGTATCACATCCACGAATGGGGTGCCCAGTCTGTTTAAGGTGTGTAAAGTCTATTATTGATGGTGTCTCCTTGTCATACCTCTATAATCTCCTTTATGCCTGAACATTCAAGTTACCCTCTGAAAAGAGAAGCCATTTGACTGCGTGATTTTAATGTCTCAGAAGGAAGAGAAGATTATGAGCTTAGACCAAAAGCCAGAAATCAACAATAGTACAGATCCACAAGACCTCATGCTCTTTATCTTCTGTGCTCAGCTCAGGAAGATGCAATGCATATAGGCCCTGGGTGTGTTTGCCAGCATCGTGACTTCCCCCAGAGTGCCATTAAGAACTGGCAACCTTGGTGTAGTTGAAACAAATGATTCAAAGTGTTTTCTTCCGGAGGCCATTTGCAATATGCTTTTAATTCTTCCACCTCATAAAGCCAGCTCACTTTCCAGTTTTGTGGGTACTATTAAATAAACGAGCATGATCCCCCAGAAATTCATTTATCAAGCATTTAATTGAAAAGTGCCAAAGCTGCTCTATTGAGCAGGACTTTCCTCATACTGTCAGAGCTTCTAAAATGTCCCAGAGCTACATAGCTACATAGCTCTGTTTTACTTCTTGCATAAAATGTAGTGTTTAGCCAGAAGACTATACATAGATGTGGGATTGTGCTAATGACATTCTGCTTAGAATCACTCTTTTGGATTGACATCACAAATTAACTTAAGGGCATTTTTAGTGCTTTAGCGTAAGTAGCTCTCTGCTTTGTAAAGCATTCCGTTTAAAGACCCAAGTGGTAAAATGGCATAGAAACTTGCCATATTGTGCATGAGCCTAAGTGGTTCCCATTCCAAAACTGAACATGCCAGGAATTGGTAGCTAAGGAGGACAAGGAAAGATATCCAACCGATAATCAGGAAAATATGAGTCAAAATATGTTTTTCCTGTTTTTTTTAAGCAAAGATTCTTTCAGAGAAAAGTCATGACAGTTCATTGCAAACTAATCTTCTCTGGGAAGCTGCTTTGTAACCACATATTTCAACCTGCCACAATTAGGTTAGAAAGCAAAGTACCATGACATTAGACTGCAAAAATAATTTCAGATTGAAAAGAAAGCAGTAAGTTTTGGTAAGGAAGGATCTTTTTTGTTTTTGTTTGAGTTTCTTGTCAGTGTTTTGCACTACAACAATGCCACTCATGTCTGCCTTACTGCAGGAAGAACTAGTCGTTGAATCTGTTAGCAACATTCAAGGTGACAAGCATCCCTTCTATAAACCTTCTAATTTTTTAAATGCCAGCTATAATAGAATTGAAGTCAGGTTTCAGTAAGATGACATTTCTATTCAAGATGGCTAAAACTTCTCAGGATGTCTTTACATCTTAAATCACACCAATCCGTTGAACTCACACACTTAAGAAATGGCTTCTGGATCATTTAATGTTTTAAGGGGGTTAAAAACAAATGTACAGCCTGTGGCTTAGAAGTGAGCCAAGTGTAAATCAAACTTGGCATGATGGTTACTGCCTGGATTGGATTTTAAAGGCCAAAGATTGAGTAGGTCATCAAGAAAGGTTTCCCTTCTGACTACAGCCAGGGAGCCTGTAAATCCACAAAACAACATGTCTTGCAGCTTAGACCATTCATTTCGTTCGGGGCAGCATCCTGGAAGCTTTGAAGACACCTTAAAAAAAACACCCCGAGGGAAACCTGTTCCTGCTGAGGGCTTTAGGAAGGGAAGAAGGGACAAAGCATCTGAGTCAGCCGCTGTCTGTGCCCCGCCCCCCAGACCATGAGCATTTCCCTAGTGCTTTCTTTTACAATAGCAGTGAGACTGAGGCAGTATTTCTTTTATTCCTCTTCTGAAGGCTCTTCCTTCACATTTATAATACAGATAAGGTGTTCTCAGTACTCAAAAAAGAGAAAAAACGACCCACGGAAGGTTTGGAGGTACTTTTCAGTTTGATTGCTGGTCATGGATTTCACCTGAGTGTCTCTTACGAAACATATCTGCTATGTTCAGAATGAAAAACCTTAACAACAAAGAAGGCCCCTGAGTAAGGATAGTTTTGGTCATGGTCATTTCTTGCTGGAGAGTCAGGACTATCCTATAATGTCCTTATCAGAAAGAAGAGAGATAATGTCCTTATCAGAAAGAAGAGTTATAGGCAATACACAGAAGCTCTAATTTTTAGTTCAAAAGCCACCTGTGAGTGGATTGGCTACACAGTAGTTCTCCATTCAGAGATGGGACTTACCTTTAGTAGAGGGTAGACGTAAAATATAAAAGAATGGTCCTTTTAACAGTGAATGGCTTGGAATAAAATCCAGGCTCTACCACTTCCTGGCAATGTGAACTTCAGCAATTTACCTGATTTATCTGAGCCTCACTTTCCTCATCTGTAGAATGGAGATAATATATACCTAACAGTGCCTGGCATCTAGTAGACAGTAAATGTTGGGTCTGGTTCCCCAGATTACATTTATAGAGTTAAAAATGATGAAGGCAAAAAAACCTGGTGAATGTCTAAATTTTTCTGTGTTTTGAAGCCATATAAAACAGTTTTGGATTATCTGTGAGGCTTTTGCATAAATTCATGCTATTTTCCCTCCGATTCAATAATCAAAATTGGACAGTACTGCTTTTAGGTACTGTATTAAGAAGTTCCCTGTTGTGTAATTGAAACTAAGTCTGCTACCAAATGAGGTGAACTGACCCAGGAAGCGTATTATTCCCACAGGAAAGCTGTGCTTCTAGACTGTGTGCATCGAGCGAGGATAGTGACTACCCTCTTGAGAAGACCCTGAACAGCAGTCCAATCAAATCGGAACGTGAAGCACTGCTAGTGGGTAAGGAAGTTAGTACACACATACAATGTATAGAGTACCGTGGAGGGGGAAGTGTTGACCTAACATAAATAAGCACATGCCAAGCACTTGTAAAGCATGACAGTGCAAGGACCCAGAGTTCGGAAGACGACAGGGTGAGAGCAAGTACAGACTTCAACAATATGGCAACAGCAGCTGCTGCCAGCCCCCTTTAAGCTCCTTGTGGCCACTGCCACGTCACATTTGTCAGTATAAGCAGTATGCTGAGAGGGGGTCTGCTGAAGAAACCCCTTGTAGGGTTTTTTAATCTCTATATAAGGATAACTGAGCCATCTCACGCCCACTCAAGGGAGAGCACAGACACTGTTTAGCAGAGAGCTTTTCCAGATGAGCTTCTGGAGGAAGCATGTGCCTCTGTTAAGTTTTTTCAGGTTACTGGCAGGTGACTGAGGAGGTTGTCTGTGGCGTGTTGCACAGTGGTGGGCTCTGATGAGATAAATGCTATAATTGCTCTTCTTATATAAAATTTCACTCAGAGAGGCAAGAGAGCATAAGTGGTTAAGAAATCTGACAGATCTGGCTTTCTGTCCAGACCCTGCCATTTCCATCCTACCAGTTCCTCCATCTGCAAAATGGACATAATAATACTACCTATCTCAAAAGGTAGACTGCAGATATTAAGCACAATTCATCTGCATCACTTAGTATAGTGCTCAGCCCATAGAAAGCCCTCAGAAAATGAGAGCCATTTTGCACTTACAGTGCTTTTCCACTATTCATAAATGCTTGTTGACTTTATATTCCATTTGGAGAGCAGAAGCAGGCAGATTGAGTTCCTAAAATACTCAGTCACTGAAAAGGGGCTGATCTTGGGCCTCAGCACATAATCCCAGCTGCCTTCTAGGAAGCTGAGCCACACTGTAGCCTCGCCTCAATCTCAAAAGTTCTGCACACTGATTGGCTTCTGCATATTTTTCAGACATATCTGCCTCCTCTGGTAATGGATATTGTAATCAGATTTAACACTTTGATATGTTAATAAAGATGCACAGGGGGATCTGCCATTGAGTCTTCAAGAAAAGTGACAACTTATTTCCATTTTCCAACTCAAAAGTTCTTTAACAAATTGGCATGGCAACAGGGAGACCTGTCAGAGAAGAGCTGGGTATAGGAGGAAGCCTCTATAAATGGATAGTTCCAGAAACAAAGATTCTTAAGATAAATGTTTCTTGTTTGGGTTTTTAAAGAAAGTCGTCTTGGGCTGACAGAGAGAAACAAAAATGGTTTTTAAATTGGTTCTTTGGGTGTGAACCCACAAAAACTGCTTTGTCTTTTGAAATGTATGGAGTTATTTCCTGACATTTGACAGCCTTTGTTGGCCATAGAATCTAGAATTCCTTTGAATATGGATGGTCTTCTTCAGAATTTAAGTTTCCTGGCTTGGGTCAGTGTATAGAAACTCAATCTATCTAGACATTTAAGAATAAAGTAGTGTTATAATAGCATCCATTTTGAATAGATTCTGAACCCTACCATGAGTTACTTGTGGATCCCTGAACTCACCCCCTTGCCGTCTAATAGTTGGAGGATTTTCACAAAGAACTGATTTGAACTTCGAGCTCCAACTTAAATTTGTTATATTTGTAGTTGTTTAAGGGGATAGACAGGTTGTAGTTTATAAACCAAATCAAACTTAGCTTTTATTTCCTGGCACTTTCAGCAAACTCATTTCTGGATCAATTTGATATACCTTAAAAGAGGTGAGTTTGAAAAATTTAAAGAAAGAAATAGTAAACTTTTGAGCAATTTATATTCTACCTGTTGCCAAAGAAAGAAATATTAAAATAATTAACCTAATGGACAGAACTATAAAGGCAGTCTGTATAGCTGCCAGTTACCCCAGAGTTACGCTGAGTAGGAATCATGCACGTTTCTGGAGGCTGGAAACTGCTATAAGCATTCTGTTACTTGAAAAGATTCAGGGCTCTGAGCTTAAACAAAATGCTAGTAACCACTTAAGTGAATGAAATGTTGGACTTTTCTTTACAGAGCTACTCACAGAATAAAACCCAAATATAATCAGCAGACTCTCTTGTGAGAAGCATGAGGTTAATCAGGCAAAGTACATGATGTGCACTTTTGCCATAACAGCAGGGCATTATTAACACATAAGAGTCTAAAGTCCAATTCGAAGACTGTGCAGAGGAACTGCAAAAACCCAGCACAATCTGAATTTATTGTAAAATTCTAAATCTGTTGTGAAATGTAGAACAAATGGTCTTTAGTCATCATGAATGACGGATGTGTCGCCCCATATGCCAGCTTTTCTACACGTGACATAGTGTAGTGAGAGGCAGAATGTGCAGTGGATAAGGACAGCTATCTGGGTTCAAATACCTGCTCTGCCACATATCTGTGACCTCAGATAAGCTGCTCGAAGTTTCTGTGCTTGGTGTCTCCTCATCTGTGAAATGGGGATGGTATACCTACCTCACAGGTTGTTGTAAAGATTGAAGGAGCAAAATATCTGTAAACTTAGAATAGTGCCCAGCACATAGTATGTCATACATAAGAGTTAGCTCTTGCTATATACTATCATGTGGCATCTCAAAAAATATAATGCTCAAGTGTAACCCCCATGGTATTGTCTCTATAGGGATTATCTCCACATTCCTTCATGTCCACCCATTTGGAGCAAGCATTGAATACATCTGTTCCTACTTGCACCGTCTAGATAATAAGGTATGTGGGGGCCTGAAATGGGCTTGCAAGGGGATGTAGGGTTCTTTGTGAACAGGTCGCCGTACTCTCCTCAAACATAAATAAGTCATTAGTAATCACTCTAAGGAAAGGTCCTTCACCTATTCTCTTGCTGTGAATCAGTGTAGAGCTTCTCACTTGCAAATAGGGTGGCCTTCTTTTCCCATTTGCCTGGGACTGATGGGTTTCCTGGGGACTGGGACTTCAATACTAAAAGCAGGGAAGTCCTGGGTAAACCTGCGTGAGTTGGCCACCCTATTTCCAAGACACATCTTAGAAAAGTTTTCCTCCTTCCTCTTAATTTACATATAAGCCGCAAATTAACCGATATTTCTCACCAACCAAACTTTTGTCGTGGGCCTTTAGCCATTAGCAAATGTTCATTTTCAAAACTGGAAGTCTTACTCCAACTACACCCTCCCCCAACCGACCATCACCATCACCATCACCACTGCCATTATCTGCACTGAAACAGTCAAGTCAGGAGCAAAAGAAAAGATGGAACAATAAGTCTGTTACACAGATTGAGTATTTTGTCGTGGCTCCTGTCATGGGCCCCTTCCTTCCCTGGGTGCTCTCCTGCAGGGGGACTCACAAAGCCTCAGGAGCGAGGGTAAATGCTAGTTCCCTAAAACGTCAAGGATGCCTCATCGTGGCAGAAGGAGACTCTTTGACCCTTCATAATAAATAAACTCATGATAGATTTCTTTAGAAGCAGCATTCAGGGAAACCTGCTCGTGGATTATACTCACTGTTTCACAGAATCTGGGCCTTTTGAGAAGTGCCATTGGTAAGCAGATTCTGGGTAGTTGGATGCCCAACATGTTTAACCATTTAAGCGTATGTCCTCCTAACAGAGGCACTGGCCCACCTGGGAATCCAGCTGTGGTGATAGGTCCTGCTCATGGCACTTGTTTTAGTTATTACTAGAACTCCCCCTTGTTTATCTCTGGGAAGTGATGCTATTCAGCTATTAAAGAACCCATTTGGCAGTGAAGCAGGGCGTGGAATGTGAGCACTAGCATCAAGCAGTCAGTTGAAGTGGTATGAAATTGAACTATGTCAGTAAAAATAATCTGGTTCTTTTTTTAAATTTCAAAAATAATGCATACATATTATCTTAAAAATGTAAGCAATATAGAAATATAGTAAAGGGAAAGGCAAAGTTACCCACAATCTTACACCTCAAGGAAAACTATTATTAATAGTTTGGCATTAATTTTAGACCCTTTCCTATACAGTCGCTGCACCTATATTTTCTGTATATATCTCCAAACGTCATATATTTATGGTGTCTTAAAAGGAGTATTCAACACTTATGATACTCTGCAATGTGCTTCTTTCACTTAACTGGGTACAATCTACGGCTAGCACTGGGGACAAAGCCTCATCTCCTTTCTGGTCTAGGCCTAGCTCCTCCTGAGTGGCTTCCTGACAGAGTAGTGCCAGGGTCTCCCAAATGGAGCCTGAAGTGGAACCAGAGCTGGAGAGTCCTTCCCTCCAGCTTTCAGAATATTCAGTGTAGCAGAGACTCAGGGTTTCTTTTTATTTTTAATTTTTTATTGACGTATTGCTGATATACAATCTTATATTGGTTTCAAATATACAACACAGTGGTTCAACAGTTACCCATGTTATTAAACCCTCCTCCCACTAGTTCAGTTACTATCTGTCAACATAGGAAGATGTTATAGAATCATTGGCTATATTCTCCATGCTGTACTACTATCCCTGTAATTAACTTATATTATGATTGAGAATTTTTGTGCCCCTTTATCTCCCTTTCCCTCCCCGCCCAACCACCCAACCGCTCCCCGTGGTAACTACCAGTCACTTCTCAGTGTCTATGAGTCTGCGGCTGTTTTGTTCCTTCTGTTTTGCTTTGTTTTTAGATTCCACAAATAAGTGAAATTGTTGGGTATTTGTCTTTCTCCACCTGGATTATTTCACTGAGCATAATACCCTCGGGGTGTCTTCAAAGATCACCTAAGTGCTCTTCCGTCAAGCCCTAGTGCCCAGGTTCACAGTAAGGCAGGTTGCTACTAATGTAGTGACTGCCTGAAACAAGCCCTAAAGGGGTCCACAGATTTGTTTTTGTTTTTATATTGATGTGTATGCATGTGAGAAGTGAGAAGAGGGAGACAAAGCACAGAAGGAGAAGAAATATAAAGCATTCTCTATCCCTGTCACTGTTCCTTTGCAAACTAATGCTTGTGTGAAGAATTCTGCTCTGCTTCCCTTTTCTCCCAAAAGCCTTTGCAGCTTCAGTAGGTATGCACTAACCACCAGCACTGATCAGCCATCAGTCAGCTGGCTACAAACCCAAGCTCTCCACACGACTGACACCAGCTCTTTCCAATAGAAAGCTCAGTGACAATCTCAAAAACATTACGCTAACTGAAAGAAACAAGTCCCAAAAGATTTTAAATTGTTTGATTAGACATATATGAAATTTCCAGAAAATGCAAAACCACAGTGAAAAAAAGTCCAAATCAGGGATTGGGAGTGACGATTGACTGCAAAGGGGCTGGAGTTGTACAATTGAATAAATTTACTAACACTCATGGAACTATACACATAAAACAGGCGAGTTTATTGTATGTAAATTATATCTAAATATCGCAGTAATGAAATACATAAAAAAAGAAAGCTCAGTGGACTCTGTCTGATAGTCACCGAAGGGGAAGGCTTCCTTCTGAAAGCTACTCAACCAACACATACACTTGCACAAGGAGCACGAGGAGGTCAACCCCACCCCCACTACACTCACACTCGAAAACAGCAGCATTCCAAAGAAGTAGGCAACATTGGGGGGAAAAGCCAGACCAGGAAGGTGAACTGATTTTGAATAGAACTGTCCTCTGTGTCCCACAGATCTGCACCAGTGACGTGGAATGTCTCATGAGCAGACTCCAGCACACCTTCAAGCAGGAAATGACTGGAGTTGGAGCCAGTCTGGAGAAGAGATGGAAATTCTGTGGCTTTGAAGGCTTGAAATTGACCTGAATTCCTTTACCTAACAACCTGGGATCCTGAAAATAAATGTGTGTTGGACAAGCTTAAAAAGTGATTTGTATTCTCAATGGTTTTCAAGTGGAAATTGCTTTAAATTTGTCAGTTCATTCCTCGAATATCTTTTCAGTTAAAATAAGGATCCTAGAGCAGCTCCTCAAGCTATAGGCCCAAAAAAGAAATTGACTCAAACCTCAAGTGCTGTAACTTTTCCTTTCCTGTCAATTGGTTGTCTCTTTTTTATTGGTAGTATTGAAAAAGGCCTGAGGCTAAAGAGTATTTGGGGTATTTTCTGTGTCTGTATTACTGTTGTAGAATTTGGTATTTTTTTAAACATTGTTAATTGAAATGTTTTGATGATTTGTATGTGATTTGTGTTTCAAAACTTCTCTTCACATTAATGTTGCTCCTGGTGAGAGAAATGAAAGGAGCACCAAGTACTCCATACTGAAATCGTGTTTCCAATCCCCAGAAGGCCAGTAAATGAATAACACATCAGCGTCTTCTAGAAGGTGCTTGACCGGGTTTAAAAGACAAAGCATGGTTTGTGGCTTTTGCAAATTACTGTGAACCAAAAGTTGACAAATTTTCCAAAGTTATTTTCTCTAATATATCAGATGAAAGGTTTATTTCAGGATTTTTGAAAAATATTGGTGTATTCACAGAAAGCAAGTGTCCAGTGTGACTGGTATGTGTACACGCTATTCAGCATCACCTTGTAAATAGTATGCTTTTAAAGGAGGGCATGTTTAGTTTTCTGTGAATCAAAACACATGTGTGCATATGTGTGCCTACTCACACACATGCACACACATTAGCAGAAGGGATTTGTTTTAATATGCTTTCCTCTCTGGCCTTCTTACAAAATCTGTTGGTCCCTTTTCTTCTGCTGTCAGTGTGCTGAATTGCAAACCATGTACTGCTGTAAGTAACTGTTTACTTCATCTGAATGTTTGCAAAGAGTTGATAGAAGTTAATAGAGAAGTCCTGGTAATGAATAAATGGGCCAGGGTGTGTGAGGCTTCCTGCAAATAGGTCATCCCCACCCAGAATGCTGATTGCCAGGGGCACCTCCAGTTATATGGTGTCCATCAGCACATACAGTGGCAGAGGTACGTGGACCAGTTAGGATGTACCTGGTTGATGGAAAAGAAAAGGGAAGAATGAGCATTGGGGGGCTAATATCCTGAGGCAGAGATGATCCTTTCTTCTGTGGTGTTGGTGGTGCTTTAACAGCACAAGCATGCCCTTCCTGGAGTCTTGATTCAAAATAAGAGAATGTAATAAGTAAGTAAAGCCAATGAAGAGTATTTCAGGAAAATACTTTGTAAACGAGATGTCAGTAGTGTTCAAAGTTGTATTTTTAAAACATAAATATTCCTTTTTTATACCTCAGTTTGGTGTTCTGTTTTGAATTACATGCTGTCTAACTAATCCTTAAGTAAACCATCTCACTTTCTTCCTTTGAGTTCCAGGATGTGGGAAGAAGATGCTAACCTTCTGCCTTGGCAAGTAGAAATAGGGTTCCATGGCAGCCCATTCATGCTGAAAGCTGGCTTCCCCCTTAAACACCCCTCTGTGACACCAGCAGGAAGCCAGGGTTATTTTTAACACCAGTTCCCTCACTGGAGCATCGCTGTCATCAGTGCTACAAAAGGTTCTGATTCATCAGTCTCCAGGGTCCTGGAATGCCTTATTTTGATTTATCTTTGAAACCAGGGAAATTTACCACTTACCAATTATTTCTTATTTTAAGTAAAATAAAATGACATTTTAAAGCAGCAAGTGCCACACCCAGGTCCCTTGCTCTCCTTCACTTAATACTGTGCTACAAATGGTCTCTTCCCATTATTCCTACCAATTTAGTCCAGGCATATTCCTCCCAGCCTGCTTGCCTGTATGCTAGCTGTGATGGGTAAGTTTGTGTGTCAAGTGGGCTAGGCTACAGGGCCCAGTTGCCTGCTGAAACTCCAGTCTAGATGTTGCCATGAAGGTATTTTTGAGGTACTATTAACATTTAAACTAGTAAATGTTGAGTTAGATTACCCTCCATAATGTGGGTGGACCTCACACAATTTATTTGAAAGCATTAAGAGAAAAGACTGAAGTCCTCTGAGAAGAAAGGAATTGCGCCTCCAGACAGCCTGCAGACTCAAGACTGCAGCACTAACACCTACCAGAGTTTGCAGATTGCTAGCCAGTCCTACAAAGTTCACAATCACATATATGTTTCTTTGGAGAATCCTAATACAGAGTTCAGAGTGGTTACAATTTGTAAACTGTGTTTGCATTATATTACATAATCAAATTCCAGCACATACCACCTCTCACAATCCTTTCTATTCACCGTAGAAATCTGTTAATGAAGCTGTTTTGCATTACAAATGCTCAGTGCTATTCATTGTTCTGTTGTCCTTCCTGAATTTTGAAATATTACTGTTTTGTTATTTTTAAGAGATACAGTAGTAAGCTTTTCCAGATAATAATGAAGAGAAGCATACTTTTATTTTACAAATGGTTGTTTCATCTTCCTTCCTAGTCCTGTGACATCTCCAGTCCTGATTTTTTAATATTTCCAAGTTGCTTGTTAAATGTTCATGAAAATGAAAAAGTTAGTTTTCAGAGCAAGTCAGACACTTGTCTATGTTCAAGTTATATAAAGTTTTTTTTTTAATTGGGCCTCAAAATGTATGCTTTTCACATAATGCAGAATAAGCTGTATTATAACTTGAAAACACAGCATAGATGTACAAGACCTTTTGATTTACCCAGTAGAACTAGGCAAGCCCTTGGGATTCTTACCTGTCATGAACAGTCTGTCAAATGGACCTGGATTCAACTTTTCACCACAATTGTTACCATCTACTAAGCACCTATTATGCTATTGTGCTGCCGAAAAATCACTTTCTTCCTGTGCCTGCATGTCTTTAGGCAAGTTACATGGGCAAAATGAGAGCTTCAATTTTCTTATAGGTAAAATTAAGGAGAAATATTTCCTATCTCAGAGTGGTGATAAAGAATCAACAAGTAGTGTCTGTAAATTGCTCATCTAGTGCCTGACCCTTAGCAAGTTCACAATAAAAAGTTAGGATTAGGATTAAGATTCAGCCAAAAGTAATTATAAGTCATGACCTTACCCTCATTTTAAGAAAAATGTTCTTGTGTTCACACCTTGAAATGTGGCGCTACATCATACTATTGGGTCTCAAGAAAAGAAACTCAGCTGTTCAGACATTTATTCCAAACATTTACTCAGTCCCAGGCACTCTGCCAGCATTACGGTATACAAATCATATGGCTGGTCCTTGTCCCTAAGGAACCTGAAGGGTAGGCTTTAACACACTGAGCTTAAATCCTTTACCTTTTTAGCCAAGACTATAAAGGCTCAGCATGAAAATATTCAGTGTTGACTAGTCGTGAATAGTGTGGATAAAGCTCACTCTTAAGACCTGAACTGTTACTCTGTGTCCCCACCCCGCCCCCCTCCAGCCCCAGAGTGTAAATTCCATGAGTTAAATGAGGTCCTCATTTGTCTTGTTCACTGCCACATCCCCAAAACCTGGTGCATTGTAGGTGCTCAGTAAACTTTAGTTAAATGAATATTTATGTAGCACTCTATACAAAGTACATTAATAGGTACTAACAATAAAAGCTCACATTATTAGTGATGATTCTTTTTTACCAGTAAATATATATATGTATATGCATAGAGAGAAAGAGATTTATCCATTTTTACTATAACTGAAAAGTAGATTGTATTATCCTTTCAACTGACATTTTGAGATATAAAGTAACTTCTTTAAGTTTCTAAGAGGCAGAGATGAGATTTGAATCCTGGTCTGCCCAACTGCAAACAAACTTTTCTACTGCTCCAATATTTTATTTAAATTTCGTATCAATATAATTGGTATGTTTTATTATAAAGCCCACATTGTTCATTCACATACCGTTATAGAGCACCTGATATGTACAACTCTTGGTCCTAGAAATTCAAAAGAGAACAAAATATGACCTCTTCCCTCAAGAGTTTACACTCTGGTGGGGATACCTGCTAAATGACACAGTCATGTACAAGGTGCTGCAGGAGGGACGTGGAAGGCTTCACAAACGTCAGGAAGCTTGAAGTATAGTAAGAGAAGAAAACAGGCTCAGAAAGGTTAAATTACTGGCCCAAGGTACATGGCTAGTGTGGGGCAAAGCCCAGCATTTGAACCCAAATCTGCCTGTCTTCCACTTACACTCTTTCTGTTATACCATGGTGCCCAAGGTGACTTTCTAACACTGTCACTTAACCTCTCTGAGCCTTTGTTTTTTTGTTTATGAAGTGGACATCTAAGTACACTTCCCTCAGAGGATCTTTTATGAGGCTTTGCTCAATATAAAATGCCCAGTACTAACTATACCTGGCAAAATAAGTGTTCAATAACTAGCCAGAACTATTATTCAACCAATAGTCATATTAACAGTGTTCTGATGACACCAGAGGTACATTTCCAGTATTGGGTAATACTACAGGGTAACTTAAAAAAAAGAATGAGACCTACTGGCTCAGAGAAATTCAGATTTTACTGACCAATGCCCCCACCAGAGGTAAGTAATGCCTGGCCCAAGCCTAACTTAGGGAAAACATTTCCTTCTGCTTCCTTATAATACAGTCTCCATTATCCTTCCCGTTTCAGCCTTCCCATCACAGGACAAACAAAATGCTATGAACAAGAAGGCCAGAGGGGCCTTACCTTCTCTCCCATATCCCAAGATCCGTAACATCATTCCATTCTTTCAGTTTGGCAGGAAATTTTGAAGATCTCATCTTGCCTCAATTTTCTATCTGGATGAGAGGTCTCAAAGGCATACTGAAGCAGTTACTTAGGCAAGAGATGGAAGGAAAAGGAATTGATAACACATAAGAGCATTCAAAGCTCAAGTATAGAGCCTTATGGAGATGATCTCAGATCTTGGGTGGAAACTGGAATGCAGGACACATTAACGAGTGTTCTTACTAACCGCAATCGCTCCAAGTCTGTTTGCATATTAGACTACACTAAAATTAATAGACCTTTGGGACACCAGACCTCTACAAACCTAACTCATTAATATTCCCCAACAAATACCTTATCTTGTGCTTTAAGGTGTTTCAAAGCCACTCTATACACATAGACATTATGTCATCTGATCTTCACAACACCCTGTGAGCTAGCAGGGGTAGATGGTTCCCTCACCATTATTGCAGCTAAGGAGCATAAGTCTCAGAAGGGTGAAGAGCCACACCCTTGGCTGCACAGCTAAGTGGATGGTGGAGCTGGGATGGAAATGCAGAACTCCTGAAATTGGGACGCCAATTTCCATCCCACTTCAGCTCCAGCCTCTGCCTAGTATAGCTGAAGAATTTAAAGTAGGGGTTCTTAAGAATTTTTAGTGCAATGGACCCTTTGAGAAGTCTAGCAAAGCCTGTGAACCCCTTATTGGAGTAACATTTTTAAATGCATGGAGTAAGATACAAAGGAAAACAACTACAATAAAATAATAACACATTTTTTGTGATATAGTAACATATGCCCTCCGTTGACACAGTAAATAGCAATACATAATGACATCTAATAATGACTAATTTTGAGGTAGCGATGAACATAAATCCTGTAAGAAATCTGCAATAACTTGTATTACGTCTGTGCCACTGGTGAGAAAGTCGCAGGTGCTGCTGTACCTCTGTACTTAGTTGATGAATGTAAAGTGAGAGACCCCAAAGGCTGGCCAGGATTAAATTCATTAAACACATTAATGTTTATAAATTACTCAGATATATAAATGCCCATCACAAAGTAAGCTCTATATGTGTTTATTAAATATAAACATATTTTAAACAATAGATTCTATAAACAATAGAGATACTGATTCTTGGCACATTTTGAAATAGTGAAATTCAAAGTCTATGCATAAATGGCAGGAGGGTCCCTCAAGTCTGTATTTCTGGGTGAAGAAGTGACAGATGAGCTTCAGTATAAGAAAATACAAAGTACTGTATTTAAGGGGAAATGAGCCAAATGCCATTCACAAGATGTTAGTCTCCAAAGCATCAATTCTGGCAAAGGAAAGGGATCTGAGAGTTGTTGGAAAGAAGTCCCTGAAGACATCTGTCCAATATGTGGTTGGAATCATGAAAAGGCAACAAATTCTAAACATGGTACAACAAATAGAAACAAAACATAAGACAGCTTGTTACCCTTTTTTAAAAAAAGTTTCATACCCACACAAGTAAAGCAGTATGCTTCATGTTGCTGGGCCTCAAGACGTGCAGCTTGACCTTTCAATTCAAATGTTGTTCAAGTGCTTTCTCTGTAAGACATGCTGCCAGCCAATAGGGGTTGCAAGAACAAATATCACATAGTACTTGCCCC